ACCCCTGACTGAAGGACACATGGCATTCCTTTGGGTGTGAGGTGCTTATTCAGGAAGCCCGCATGTCTTCCCTCAGCCTGCTTTTGGAATCAAACCCACAGAGAGACCCTTCTGCCTTCTGCAGTCTCTTGTTGAGAGGCCCAGACTGAGAGACCTACTAGGCTGGTTCTCCTGCCAGCTCCCAGGACTCTCAGGGAGCATAGACATGTGCATGAGGCCTTTGTTCAAGGCCGTTTGTCCCACTCAGCCTTGGCTAAGTCAACTTTTGATGTAGTAGGTCCCATTTGAAGTCTCACTGCCCGCCCCCCTCCTGTCACATGCTGGGAGGAAAGGTGGAAGAAACCCCAGGGACCCTGAAGGCCCTTCAGTGTGAACAAGAGTGAAACCTGGGTTTTCATACTGTGAAACTCCATGCCCTTGGGCTTGTCACTGGACCTCTGTATGACTCTGTCTTCATATGCACCCCAATTAGTCAGAGCGTGTTAGGAGCACAGTGTGTAGCTTCCGGTGGGCACTGTGTGGGTGGCCGTTGTCCCTAACAACCACAGAGAGCCAAGGTGTGGCAGCAGGCTCTCTGAGGATGTTAGTGTGAGGCAGTACTAGTGTCCAGGCTCTGCAGAATTCAAGCTCTGGCCAGTGCTCAGACCTGCTGCCAGTACCCGAGAGGCGGAGGTTACATGGCAGTCAAGGAGAGGGAGATACTACAGCTGACGTTTACTGGAGGGTTCCTACTCATTGGCAGAGTACCGTTAACGTGAGTGTGAGTCTGTGCCACACAAACAGGCACACTCTCTCTTGTTTAAGCACGCTTCCTCTGAGGGAGATTTGAATCCCTGCACATAACAAGTGGGGTCTGATCAGGTATGCAGCAGCTGTCTGTGCTGCAGGACTATGAGGTTTCTTTAGGTGGCTGAAGCTCTGAGAAGGTGGGAGTCATGAAAGCCAGGAAGCACCTGATTTCTACTCCAGCCTCAGCTGTAGCTTCTGAACTTTGAAATGGGGTACACCCTACCATCCTAGAAGCTCAGGGGCCCCGTGTCTCCGTGGCCCCATGCTGGGGACATGCTTTGCAGGGGCCCAAACTGATGAGCAACCCACAACATGGTGATAGGGGAGAGTTGCCCTGGGCAAGCCATGGGAAGTCAGGGGGTGGTCCTGAGGGTATGGGTAGGGTGAGGGACCTGTGAAGTCTTCCTGTTTGTTGCAAGATGAGGAGAGAAATGTAAAAAAGTCAGGAAACTGTTGCCCTGAGACTCATCACAGCCCTGGGTAGCATGTAGAAGAGATAACAACATCCTCATTTTATGAATGGGGAAACTGAGGCACAGTATGATTAGATGACCTTGGCTACCTAGAAGAAATAATGGATTTGGATGGGTTTCCCGGCCTTGCTCACATCTCTGCCTGGTTCCAGGTGCTGGTACTGGGTTGGAGGCATAGTGCCAGAGCGTGGCTTGGTTACCAGGTAGGAAGTCAGAGGTGACTCGTGGGCCACTGGGGTTTGCCAGCTTTGTTCCATATCCTACCAGCCCTGCCTGGCCCTCTCATGAGCCTCACTGCCTTTGTCCTCGAGGGAAACAGTGGCCCTTTGTTCTCTCTGGATTCAGAACTCTGTGTGCTGCATGGAACCATGTCCGGTGCTGGCCTCGCAGGACAGCGAGACTTAGAAGTGGAGCAAGCACGGACATTCTGACCTCAGTGGTCAGGCCTTTCATTGAGTCACCCTTACCAATCACTGGGAGGGACAGGTCACACCCTTTCCAAGGGGGAGGACAAGAAGTCTCTGGGAGTGTTCTGGGAGCTGAGTGGTCAAAGAAACAGAATGGTGAACACAGATGAGTTTTTTATCCCCGAGTCCTGTTCTCACCCTATCTGGGAGACTGGGCTTTGGCCATGCCATCTTATGAAGCATCCCTTCCCTGCAGTCTCCTCTTCTATAACATACTCTTTCCTTAAGGGCACCCTCCTTTGTGGTGTCCCCTTTGTAGCATTCAGGTTTCATGAGCTCTTCGTACCCATCATGCCGTATTCAGGCCTCTGATGAAGGCCAACTCCTCTCAGCATAGTGGGGAGAGGCCAAGGCTTCTCTGAGGGTCTTGCAGGACACCGTCTCTTGAGAATGAGGGTGGCTTCTCTGGCTTCTTAACGAAAAGCAGAAAGGCCCATTTATACACCTCAGAGGTGCTACTGCAAGGCCAGCTATACTGGCACACACCTGTTAACCCAGCACTCAGAAGGGAGAATCAGGACGGTGGCTGCAAGTTCAAGGCTAGCTCGAGCCATAGAGAAGAAAAGACAGCGGAGTGTGGTGCCTCTGGAGGCAGAAACAGGCAGATTTTTTTTATTTTTATTTTTATTTTTTTTAGTTCAAGGCCATCCTGGCTTACATAGAGAGGTCCAGGACAGCCATGGCTACATAGAAAAACCCTGTCTCAAAAAGAGGGAGGAGGAGAAAAGGAAAGATGCCATGGCAGGAGGTAGCCATGCTTCGGAGTAGAACCATACCAGGCCTGATGTGTGTCCCAAGTTGCTTTTCTTGTGAAAGGGCTTTATTGGCATAAAAATGCTTGGAAAATACACAAAGGAAGGTGGCTGGCTTCCAGACTCAACTGTTTACCTTTTGTAGAGCAGCCAGGATCACAGGGAGCTTATTTTCCAAACAGCCCCTGGTTGTCAGGTCTACAGGCCTCAGGCTGATGCCCACCCAATCCTCAGGGGACCCCTGGCCTTTCTCTGGCTGGTTTCTGTCCTTTCAATCTCTGGTGGTCCAGGATTCACCTCTGACTTGTAAAACAACAAAAATTGAGATAATACTGCCCTATCTGGTAAGGCAAGCTAGGCCCTGACACTATTCTCCCTTCCCAGTACCCGGTCTAGGGAGGAGCGGGGATGGAGACCTGCATGGTCGTTTTGTCTGGGATCCAGTTATCTCTTCATAGCTGTCACGGTCTGAAAACATTGTCCTGTTTGTGGTACCTACTGCAGTGGCATGGCTGTAGTTCCTTGGGCGCCTCTTCTCCTCCTGATAGCTTCTTCAGTTCCCTTCAAATCCTGCTGAGGTTGGAAGGAAATCTAGTGTGGAGAGGCTCTTTCAGTTTTCTCAGGGGAAACTGAGGCCAGGGGACATGATAGGTACAGGTCAGATGGTTCAGCAAGGGCTGACACTGGGTCTCAGTCTGCTTCCAGCTGCATGACGTAGTTGGCCCTTTTTCCTTCCTAGGTTCTCGGTGTTCTGTCGTAGGTGGTCGAAAGGTTACCCCCACCTCCTAGTCTCGCTGTGAGGTCTCCGAAGACTCCCAAGAGGCCGAGTCAGGGTGATCCCCTCAAGTTTGAGACCAGCCAGACCCCGTTTCAAACAACAGCAAAGGACATTTGGGCTGCATCCCTTCCCCTCTCCAGTCTGGTGTCTTGGCTGTATTTGTTTTGTTTGGTATACAAGCTTGTCACCATGGGTGGGAAGCATGGTCCTTGATGATTTCTTACTGGGAGGTCTCTGCTAGTTTTTTTTCTCTCTCCCTTAAATAGGGGTGACCTTTTAACATCACTCCTGGCAGACCATAAAAAGTGGAATTAAGGACAGCAGGAAAGAGCTGGCGCATTCCAAGGGCTTATCAGAAAAAAAAAAAGAGTTAAAATAAGGGTGCATTTGCAACAGGTGTAAGCAGGGCCCGAGAGACCGGCAAGACAGAATATGTAGTATGAACAAGTGTGGAGGATTGTCACCACCCAAAGGCCTGCAGGGACAGGGGAGCCAAAAATGTAACCGGAGCCACAGAGATAGCTGGGAGTCTTGGAAGATGGGTTGTGCAGAAATACCAGGACTGAAGGTGGCACCGGGACCAGGTGCAGGGATCAGGGCCCTGACCTACCTCCTTTCACAACTTCCGCTAGGGCCCCTATCTCCGATTCTGCTAGAGGACAGCAGCTGTATGGTTGTGACTTCTGGGATTGTGACAACCAGAGGACAGAATGGACACGGGGCAGAGGCTAGAGGGTGGGTTGCGAGTGCAGATCAGTTGCCTTAGGTCTTACTTTGCATCCAAGCCCAACTCTCACCCAGATCCTAGGCAGGTTTTAGAGTCCTTGCCCCCATGTGCTTTGTTTGTGATATCCTTTCCCATGGTGAGTGGGAATAAAAGGAGACAGGTATGCATGTTGTTAGCTTGCTGTCTCCCCAGAATGGCTGTTTGTAGCTGTCTTATGTCATGGATGACACCAGCCAACCGGCCCTGAATCCCTGGAAGGGTGGATGTGAGTCAGGGATAGCCTTCTCTGGCCTGGCTGAGGCTATGTGGGGGGTCAGCCAGGTGCTAGGCTGGCGCCACTCGCCTCCAGGAGTCTAGCCTTGCAGGTGGTGGTGGCCGTACGCTGGCGGCAGACATCTGGCACGTCAGGAAGCGTGGTGTCAGGCTGCCCTGGCTGTTGGCAGGTGCTTTTGGCTTGGGATCAGGTGATGCTGAATATCAGCCGGCCACTCTGGCTCCCTCGAGGCTTGATCTTCCCAACCCTGTGCTCTTGAAAAAACAAACACATTCCCTAGTGTAGCAGCGGCCAGCACTGAACCCCGGCACCCCTCCGCTGTCAGTGACACCCCAGTTTCAGGGGGGAGTGCAAGTCTCAAGGCAGCAACTCGACAGGCTTGCCTGGAATACCGCTTTACCTTCGCTTTAGAGCATGGGGGAACGAAAGCTGCTTCCGTGGAGTTTTGACTAGGTGACCAGTCATTTTTCTTAATCTCTGGGCTCCAGTTCAGGGTGGTTGGGCCAATGAGGCATGTTCAATAAATGCTTTCTCTGTACAGCATCCCCTGCTTGTGTGCTTTCTGCCTTTGGGGACCTATGTGCAGACGTGGAATCTATCCTCAACTACGGGGAATGATGAGTAGCGGGGCCCTTGGGCTCTTCTCAGTCCCTTTCCCTCTGGGGTGCTAGCAGGGACCAAGGATCCCAGATGTGGACTCGGGCACTGAAGCTCTTCTTGTGTGTGTTCTCACCTTGCAGCTGAACCTCAGCCGGCCAATTGAGGAGCAGGGCCCCCTGGACGTGATCATCCACAAGCTGACCGATGTCATCCTCGAGGCCGACCAGAATGACAGCCAGTCCCTGGAACTGGTACACAGGTTCCAAGTGAGTGAGGGTGCTGACACCTGGCTGCGGGACCTGTGGGGTGTAGGGTGGAGAGAAGGATGGCTATGGTATCACTCTGCCACTGGTGAACTGCAGCTTCCTGGGCAAGCGCTCAACTGTGGGCCGACCTCAGTCTTGAGCGAACTCAGGTTTGATGTCTGTTCCTGGTCAGGCTCTGTGTCTTTAGGGCAGATGTGCTCAGCCCTGGCTGGTGTCTGTCTCCACTTTGACACCAGGATGAGACCTCTCTGTTGCACCTGGGGTGAAGGGTCCCTTGCAACCTTTGAACCATGCCCTGCGTTGGTTGCAAAGCCTGTGTATTGTCTAATCTGATATTGTGTATGCCTTGCCTGACGGTTCTCAGGGGCCCGAGGGATGTTCCCTGCTCCCCACCCATTTCCTCAGCAGCTCCAGGTCCTGACCCCTGGATAATCTGCCTGTCACCTTGGGGTTTTCATATGCGGTGGCAACCGCTGCTGTCACCCCTGCTGACTTGCTCCGTGTGTCCTCTTTTGTGGAAAGACGTGATTCTTTCCTCTGGCAGGCAGCTTGGGGGTCATGAAACACAGTCATATTATCAGCGGAAATGCAGCTGAAATAGTGGCTGTTCCCGTGCCTCCCCAGGGCACGGGGTGCTTGAACCAGCACTTTTCATCTGCAGTAATTGGAGGCTGGCGATCCTTTCCCCTGCCGGGACAAAGGGGACTCTTGTCACACAGCAGCCATCCTGCTGACAGCGTTCCTCTCTGCCACGTGTTCAGGGTTGGTGGCCTGAGCCCCCTGGGTGTCTCACTGCTCTCACCCACTTCCTCGAGACTGCCTGCTGCGCATGTGTTCTAGGGGTGGCTGCAGCAGGGTAGGGCTTGTCCCCATGGGCCTCTACGTGAAGTCTCTCTCATTTGCCAAGTCGCTGTGGCTGTGGTCTCCCACCATGTGGGGCCTCAGTTTTCTGGTTTGTAAAATGAGTGCCTGCAGGGAGGAGCAGCTGGGCAGTGATGGAAGTGAGTGTTTCACTGCTCAGTACCAGAGGGTGCGCACTGCTGGAATGTAGTGTGCATGCTCTCTGGGTTCCTGCTGTGTGGTACTTCTTCAGGGCCCTCTCAGGAGTGAGACAAGGCCAGAACGTTTGACCTGACTGGTCCCAACTCCATGGCCTGGACTTGGCCTGAAAAGCAGCCAGCCTGAGCCTGTTTATCTCCTCTTCCCTCAGGGCAGGTCTCATCAGCTTTGTTTTATAACCAGGAAACTAAGGCTCTGAGGTGTGTGGGTGTGGCAGAGCCAGGGCTCAGTATTGACTTTCTCAAGAGAACCCACCGCCTGTTCCCTGTGCTCTTTTATCACCACCCAGTGAACCAAACCCATCACTGCTCCCCATTCATGCCTCCTGCCCTTTAGGAGGCCCCTATGTGTCTAATTGCTATGCCCACAGCTCCTCAGGCAGTGGCCATTTTCTGGAGAGACAGCAGAGCAGGCGGAGCTGTGTAGGTAGGCCCTTGAGGCAGAAATGTTTACCAGTCCCACAGAGGATAGTGCTCAGACCATTCAGGGGCCAGGCCAAGCTCTGTCAGGGGAGGACAGGCCAGGTGTAAGGAGCGTAGTGATGACTCAACGACATTTAGAGTCACTCTGATCTGAAGCACCTTATGTTGTGTTACATGGACCAACATATAGCCTGACTGCCTCAAGGTGAGGAAGCCAGTGCAGGTTGGATAGCATATTAGTTACTACTCTGTCTCTGTGAGAAAACACCAGGACCAGGATGATTCACAGAAGAGTGTGTTTTAGCTTATGGTTCCAGAGGCTTAGAGTCCATAGTGCTAGGGATGGCTAGGGGTGGCATGGCAGTGGGTGGCAGCCTGGCAGCAGGAAGAGGAAGCTAAGAGCTCACATGCACAACTGCAAGCGTGAAGCAGAGAGTGAGTGGAAGCAGGTGAGGAGCTTTGTTCTCAAAGCCTGCCCAAAGCAACATACTTCCTTCATCGAGGCTTCACCATCTAAACTTCCTCACACAGCGACACCGACTGGGAGTCACATATTTGAGTGCCTGAGACCGTAGTGGTACTTCTCATTCACACCAGCGTAGGTGGCTCTCTCAAGCTTTCACAGTGGTCAGGGAGCATCGGAATCATCCCTGGTGACCCTGCTCTCCCCACCCCATCCCACCACTTCTCCCGAGTCATGTGACGGGGAGGACTCTAGAGTTAAAGCCAGCCTTGGGCCATGCAACCCCAGTGGTATAAATTTCTTATCATTAAGATGGCACCTTCCAGAGAGATGGCTGCAGGGTTAAGAACATTGGCTGTTCTTCCAGAGGACCCGGGTTCATCCCAATACGCACATGCTGCCTCACAACTATTTGTAACTCCAGTTCCAGGGACTACAAGGCACTCTTCTGGCCTCCATGGACAGCAGGCGTGCATGTGATACATAGACATGTATGCAGGCCAGAGAGCCACATACATGATGATCGTGATATTAATAAAAATAATATGGCACCTTCTTCCTGGACTGAATGTGGCCTCAGATGGTGCCACGTTCTTGTTCACTCCCGTCAGTACCATTTTTCTGTAAAGCTGTGGTCTGGTCAGCAGTTAGCTCAGTGTCCCCACGGGGGTGACACTGAACCTGTTCGTCTGCCCCAGACACACTGGAGTCCTCAACCTAGTGTATGTGACTGCTGAGCAGTTGCCAAAGATGCCCTAGGTGTAGGAAGGGATAGTCTGTAGCTCGTGTGCTTGTGGAATATCTCATAGAGAGGGTCTTGGCTGGGTCCTTGGGTCTGTTGTACACACATCACTGGTCCATAGCCTGGGATGGTAAGCCCATGATAACCTTCATCCAGGTATTTCTGGGGGAAGTTACTGCCACAATGTATTTTAGCAAGAAGCCAGATACGTGGTAAAGACCAGGACTTGTTTTACTGGGAAAGAAACCAACCCTTTTGAGAAAGAGAATCAGGCTGCATTCCTCAGTGGCCCCTTGAGGCGAGCAGGAGTTTATGTAGTCAGGGGGACAATGTCACCTGTCTAGGAACAGGTTGAGGGCCTCAAGACAAAGGCTAGGGATTACATCTCTTGGGACTGTCAGCACTGATCTGGTCATCTCTCCCCGAGAGATGCAAGTTCAGAGTCAGGCCATATGTACCTGAAGCTGACCATTGACTACGCTATGGCTTTCATTTCAAACTCCTGTTCAGTCTTCTCTTTTGGACATTAACAAAAAGGCCTTGGCTTGGTTTGGAAGGACAGGGTCACGATGAGGCATGTTGACTGTAGGAGCAAGAAGCAGAGCCCAGGGCCTGTTGTACAGAGAGACCCTTCCTGGTTTTTAAGCGTTACGCAAGTACAGCAAAGTCGAGGGGCTCTGCTTCCTTTGGGAAGGGCTCTGCCGAAAGGGCCCCATCTATATTCAGATCCCTCGGGAAAGGGTTGTAGGATCTTATGTGGAAAGATAGGAGGTTTGGAGACGTTCCTCCTAGCCAGAGCACTGCACTGTGGGTGCTGTCATGAGACTCTGGTCCTCAGGGAAGAAGGGGAGATTTGGAACTAAGGCCAGCCTCTTCCTTGTGTTCAGGTAGACAGGTTGGAGGGTGTGGGCCTGGTGCACAATGCAGGTCATCTGAGCCAGTTGTCATGGAAACCACTCCCAGTCAGTTTTCCTTTAGGATTAACCTCACAATGAAGGATTACTGGGATGATTCAGTTGTTTTTCTTGCTCCAGGGGTCATGTGGAGCCAGCAGTCTGGCGCCTTTGCCCACTGCCTGAGACTTAGTTATCAGTGCAGACACATGGGCAAAGGTCCCTCAGGGCCCTGTCTCCTGAGCCAGCGGGGATGGGTGTGACTGGTATACAGGGATCCTGAGGCCTCTTGGCTTCTCTGCTACTTCCTCAAGCAAGCAATAGCAACCTTTTGTCACTTTTGGTGCCACCTGTCTAGTATGACGGCAAGGGTAGGAACCGGTGGTTTTTGGGCTGAGGAACTCCCGGATGGAGTATGCCGGTTGTAACCCACCAGGCATGTGTCTCTTCCAGGGGTAGTTCCTGATGTTAGAGGAAGGAGGCTTGACTCCAAACTAATGTTTCTCCAATCATTTGTATGTGTGCAGACTTTTTGTTTGTGAGTTGGTGGGTACCCGTGGACATCATGGGTATGGAGGCTTTGTTTTTTTATTTGTTTTTGAGACAGGGTTTCTCTTTGGCCTGGAACTTGCCTAGTAGGCTAGACTGGCGAGCAAGCTCTGGGAATCTGCCTGTCTCTGCTTCCACAACACTGAGATTATAAGTATATGCCACCATGCTCTCTCTCTCTCTTTCCCTCTCTCTTACACACAGACACACACAGACACACACACACACACACACACTCCCTTACTCTCACTCATGAGGGCTCTTGGGATTGAACTCAGAACCTCGTGTATTCTAAGACTGGCATTTTGCCAGCTCATCTAACTCCTCAGCCCTTCCTCTCCATCTTGATCATCTGGAAGGAGGTTGATTCCTCCAGTGTTCCTGGAAACTGTCTGCTTGTTTTGTTTTGTTTTGTTTTACCTAGCTCTGGCTGTCCTAGAACTCATTATGTAGACCAGGCTATCCTCTGTCTCATGGAGATCCACCTATGTCTGCCTCCCAAGTTCTGGGATTAAAGACCTGTGCTACTACTCCTGGTTGCCACACTAGCCCTCACCAGCAGCTACTCAAGCCTGACTCTTGTCCATCCTTTTTACAAGCAGCTCCTGCAGCCAAGGTCCTGTTCTAGGCCCTCCCCACCTTGGCCTTTACTTCCCACCATTTGGAAGTTCGGGATTCATTGTCAGTTGCTATTGTCTCTCTCAGGGCCATCTGCTCCTTTGCTCTCACTGCTGCCCTCCACACCTGGCACATCTGGAGCATTCCTATGTTTGTCAATAGGACCGTAGAGAGGGTCTGGCTTGGTGCTGGGTAGACCCTGTGGGTCAGTGATAGGTGGAGTACATGGCTCTGATGGATGACTGGGAGCAGGA